CGGGGGTCCGGGAGTAAAACCCCCACCCGGTTTGGGCTCTGGGGATCCCCGCATGACAACGCTGGTGGAGATCCTCTATGAGGATGTGTATCCGGCAGGGGACAAGTCGATAAAATATTGCAAGAAACCTACCTGATCTTGCAATCAAAAGTGCAGGGCGACCGACCTAACTCCGGTGGTCTTCATTTTCATAATGGTGGCATGTACTTTTAAGGAAGGACTTCTCGATTTTGAGTCGATTGATAGTCTCAAGCTACCACTCTTGTCATGGTTTTTCCCTACCCAGAACACCGATGTTCTCTGATGACCCCAGTGTCTAGACCAGCCCCTTCAATTCTTTTCCCTGTAGGTCGAGCAATGGAGACCTTTAGGCTAGCTTTGGAAATGAGGACAGGCTTTTCCCTGCCCTCTGCTGGGTCAGTTCTATGTGATAGGCATGTAGGCAGCTTTACAACTTTGTCCTAGATGGAGGAGGAAAGCCAGACCCTTCCATTCAAGAATTGACTTCGTCGTGCTAGGACATGAAGTGTCCAGGAGTGTCCTTCGAAAGAATTGCTTGTTGTTTTTGAGTAAGTTATTTTGTTTGTCAAACATTTTGCAAAATTTGTCGACAAGTTTTAAAACTTTGATACAATATACAACCCATCAGTCACTGTAGATCCTTTGATTGAAGGGCAGCTGTGTTAGGCTTGCCTTTCTACAACCAATGCTACAAGCCGTGGATTTTATAAATTGAATCCAAAACAAAAAGGCCGGTTGGATTTTACAAGTTTAATCTCGACAATAAGGCCGGTTGAAGAGTCTTGGACCTTTTGGTCTTAAACCACCAGTAATACTTCCTGAAGTCGTGCCCGTTAACAAGCCACAATTTTAGGAAATGTACGGGCCACTACAGGAGCACCCAAATTCATCCAAGTAGAAGTGTTTCTACTCTGTTTTTTTCCACGGCGGATAGCTGGGCCAACAAAGTACTGGTTGGTGGTTTAACGAAAAGGCTTCGGATAGCTTCCCCATAATGGTACAAGCCTTTGATTTTATAAATTTAATCTGAACAAAGAGGCCGGTTGAAGAGTTTTGGACCTTTTGGTCTGAACGAAAAGGCTCTTCAGATAGCTTCCACTAACTCTTTGGTTCCGCTATTGAGGCCGAGCCTAAAAATTCCCTGCGCCCCAAGCTTTGCCGAACTTCCAGCGCGACATTTCTTTTTCTTTTGGCTGGCGCCGCCAGCCAGCCGGTTAACGCGGTGCGCTAGTGTCGATGCCCTGCGGCGGCTGATGGAAGTACTGGCGGTGTAGTAACTCGTCTCAAACGTTTTGTTTATCCTGTTTTTTAACTGCTGATTGCGTCAATGTGATTGTCTCCTAATCTTCAATGAAGGAGCGGGAGTGGAAGAGTAGAAAATTGATCTCCAAACGTGCGAGGGAAAGAGAAATGCCTGTTGAGAAACTGCTGCAATCTGTGGAGCAATGGGTAAATCCCTCAGCGACAATCCTCTCAACCCAAGAAATCAGTTTCAACTGGTAGATACTATAACTTCCAAGTGTTTATGGATCAGCTGTTGCGGACGGTTCAAGCCAAATCTCCAAAGACAATAGAGGGTACAGCAGCTCCCATTTTAAGAAAGCCAAGACCAGAGCAAGACGAAACGACGTCCTCACTACAGCACCCATTCATCAACTGACAACGCCTACGCCATTGTTGGCTATGGTGGTCAGTAGAATCAAACCACCAGTACTTGGCCCAGCTATTGACCGCGGGAAAAAATGCAGTAGAAACGTTTCTAGTGGGATGAATTTGAGCGCTCCGGTGGTGGCCCGTACGTTTCCTACAATTGTGGCTTGTATAGGGCACAACTTGGAAGTAAAAAAGTAACTTCTAAATATTGGCTCAAAAGTTTCACTGCAATGGTTGCCCGTTCACCCGTCCAGTCTACTAAAGTGCCCACCAAACCTTGCAAG